GGCATTAGCCTTTAAACATACTGATGCTAGCTGTCTGAAAAAGTACACACAATGCGCTAAGATAAAGCAATAGTGGCGCCCCAGTAGGAGGCAATACATTGTAATGCTTATGTTGAAAAAAGTCATGAAAAAGCCATAGTATAGTATGTTGAAAAAAGTAATTTTTATGTCAAAAAAAGACATAGTATAGTATGTCAAAAAATGTCATAGAAAAACCAAATGTCAGTAATACTGGAGGTATGCGCCCCAAATCTTGTTATTTCTGGCTCAAGTTATTAGCTCACCTGGAACAACAAGTGTCCAAAATTCTCCAGGTACTGATTCAGAATATGAGGTTCGAAGCCAACTTGTCACATGTTCTCAAACTATTGTGCTACACATCACATGAAAATAAAATCATTAAGTCAATAATAGCTTATTGTTAAAAATATCTTCGATAAAATAACGAGACATTATATTCAAGTCTTTCTCACAATGACAAAAAACAAATCAAAAAGTCATAGTAGAGTATGTCTAAAAAGCATGAAATATAGTATGTTGAAAAAACTCATAGTATAGTATGTTGAAAAAAGTCATGAAAAAGTATTATATTTTAGTTTTCCTACAGTTTACACATTATCCGGTGCAAGTGCGAACCTGTGTAAATTTAGACGGTGCTCGAAGACCCATACTCATGTGATATAACCTTGAAGTGAAGGGTCATCCTTTAAGTCCCTGCCTGAACATCATACTATTTCCCTAACCATTACATTTCGACATGCTCTTTAATATACAGTATGTCCCTGTTTAAAGAGATTAGAAGACAAATATCATGAGCGGAGTGAGCAAAAATAAAATAGAGCTCAAAACTTTTGCTGCGCTCTTAAATCTGTCTCTGCATGCTCTCAAATCCTACAGATTATTATTATATTATTACAGCATAAATTAGTTTTGTCCTTGTTTAATCCATATTGATTTCCGTATTTTTTTTCATCCACAAATGTGTGTGTGTGTGTGTGTGTGTGTGTGTGTGTGCGAGCTGTGCAACTGAGAGGAACTCTTTCATTTATTTGTTTCAGGACCCCAAACAGACTAAGCGTTGTCCAGTCGCGGGCCTCCAGCCAGAAGGCTTTCGTCACTCTTCAGGCCTTATTGTTCTTCAGGCCTTCTCTGCACAGCGGGAGGATGTTGGCTGTTTCTTGATTCTCATACCCGTCCCTCTAGACACATACGGGCACACAAACACAGAGTACAGAGAAACGCACACCATTCATATGGGAAAGAATGGGCCCAGTCTGGATGAGGCTATTCCCCTGCGTAACACTAGACACGATATTCAATATCTCCAGCCCTCTCTGACTAAACAGTGTCTTGGCACAGGCTGAGTGGAGGGCTGGAAAACCCCAGAGCTGCTGTTAAGTTTTTTGCTGTGACCCACTCTTTTATTATAACGACTCTATAAATGCTTACAGACCCTCAACTTGGTCCCGTGTCGAGGAGGGGATTCAAGAAAGTCCCGTTACACAAACACATTATGTATACATCACAGTAAGCGCACATGCATACAAGCAAGACTCAACTGAGGTGACGATACGACAAAACACGCAAGCCATCTATTCTTTCATTCCTTCCACTTTTTCTCATCACGAGTCAAGAAATGGCAACTCGGGAAAGAGACAACTGGGACTCCTTTGTCTTGATCCTCTGCCTCAACACACACACACACACACACACCAAACACAGGGGGATTGAAAAATGAGAGCCAGGCTTTTAGTGCTATAGATTCGCATGACAAACACATAAAAACATAATCTCTCATGCAGCCTGGAAAGAAAATGATCAGTGATGTGGGAGGAAGGAGTAAAAAGATGGGAGAGGTGGAGGGGGACAGAAAGCAGTTCAGTGAGTTTATAGCAAGTTTTTTTTTTTCACATCTATTGTTTCTGCAAGTGCTGTGAGGATAATAGAGGCTATCAAAGCACTCGGAGGGCCCTCACCTTTTAGGGTTTGCAGCCACTTACCACGTGCTCTGAGCAGCCTTGGAAACTCACAGGAAGATAAATAAAAATCAGGATTTGAGTTTTTTTTTTTTTTTTTCTTTTTCTCTCGACACCCCTCCCTATTCTTCCCCTAACTTTAACATCTGGAAAACCCTCATCTGGCAGCAGTGCAAGCAACTGAAGCCAGTAAGATACTGTCTGACTCCCCCCCCACCTCTCTTTCAGTACCTCTGGATTCCTGCTGCATCTTTTTCCACTCTCACTTCAAAGGTTTCACCGATGTGTCTTCTGAGGTCTTCTTGCTTCTCTGTTGAGTGGTTTTGTTGGCAAAGATGTAGAAGTTTTTTTTTACTTCCTGTTTCTCACCTTCTATTTTCTACCTCCAATGTCCTCCAAGGAAGTCATCAAAGACATCCTTATAATTCTCTCTCTCTTCTTCATCAACTCTTGCTTAAGCTAGGTTTGTGAATTTTACTGGAAAATAATAGTAGTACTCAAACGATAATATCGATACCGCTCGTATGTCTGTTCTGAAGCAGCTTGTAAACTTAGCTTAGCATAAGGACTGGAAACCAGAGCAAACAGCTGGCCTGACTCTGTCCAAAGATAACAAAATCCGCCTACCGCCTCATGAATTAACGCATAATACTATAATAATTGTAATCCTTACGAAAACTGATGTATAGAAACAACGCGTTGTGGTTTACGAGAAGTATTGATCGAATCATCTCAATTTTCGTCAAGAAAACAAATTAGTGTATTCCTATAATGTCGTAAAATTTCTTTAAAGCTTGAAAAAAAAAAAAATTTGTATTAGCCAGTTAGTGACAGCGGAATTACTCTGTAAACACAATATTTACAAATGATAATAGCTAATAAGTTACCAAACTGTTGCCTATTCATATAGCAATTCGCTAAATTTTCTCTGTCTATTGTTTGTTGTGGTAACCAACACAGACTTTATCAGAGCTTGCCTGCTATGTCTGAAGTAAGATTGATGAGAATAGTTCAACCTTCGAGTGAGAGAGCTAACCAACACAGTGAAGTTGAAGGCTGTAAAACCAAAACAACTTGCTGAAAGAGGCTAAACCCGCCTGGAGAGCTGAAGGGAACTGCAGTTGGGTGTGTCTGTCACGATGTATAACCACTTTCACATTACCCAAAGTCATTTGTCCATCGTTGAAATAAAAATATGGATCAGCTAACACATCATGGCAGAGAATCCAAAACATGCATAAATAACAACATTTTAAGGACTTTTGAGAGGCTATAGTTCCAGGTCAGAAACACAACTCTGCTACTGTGTCTGCTAACAACTCACTCTGCTATCTGGATGGACCCAAACCAGACAAGCACCAACTGATAATAGTATACTGTATATGTTGTGTTGTGTAATTGATAGAACATTGTATGACTTTTCAAGACAGCAAAGTCTAAAAATAAATCTGGATGATGTAGAAAATCCTGAAGCAGATATTTGATTGGCTGCAAGTTTGCTACGAGAAACTGCTCTTTATGTCTTGTTAGTTACAAACAGGTCCTCCCATAGTCTAATGTCAAGGGTCTGGAGTATTACAACAGAACATTGTGTCCCTTTAAGCCAACAACCTTGGATTTTTCCAGACCTCTGTTCTGGTTACAGACGATTACCTCCAAACAAACGGCTGTTGCATTGCTCTCTTTTTCCCAGGAACAACTGAAAGTACACAAAATACAGCTGGACGACAGAGTGTAGAGACACAGTATTGAAACAGTCGGTGATGTCAGTAAAACTGTAGGTTACTGGATTGAGGAATGAATCTTGTCACCATCTTGTCGAATGGCAAGGCCAGAAAATCAAAAAGTGACTTTAATATGAAAGTGCCACGACCTAGAAATACTTTACAATAACACACTGCATGGCATTAATACTTCATGCAACATCTTTTCTTCTCTCCTTTAAAGGCTCTTCAGTATAACCATTATTAATCATAATTGCTCATCTCCTCCTTTCCAGCCAATCTGTCTCTCTCAGCTCTCTGTTTTTGTTTGATTTGGCCAATGGCGTGCTGTGAAAGCGATCCTCCCCAGTAAAGCCAGCCACGGTTGACCATTTTGACTCCCCTAACTGGAGCAAAGCAAAGCAGAGCAGCCACATCTGGCAAACGGTTCTCACATCTGGTTTGTGTATCAGCTCCTTTGCACGGCCGTCTACCACCAGAGTCTGATCACATACCTCGGAGACATGAGATGAGCTGCAGACGATCCACTCCAGGGAAAACAAGCTGGAGGACGGTGAGCAAGTTCATGTTCGGAGGTCAGACAGACAAAGCAGGAAGTGTCACTCACTGACACAATGTGAAGAAGCAGTTTGTTTTATTGGGGCTGAGGACGTTCTACTGTTCTTTGAATTGTAATTTGTTGCAGCAGTGTCTAGAAAGAGAGCTAGAAGGTGAAAACGTTTCAATCTTACACAAAAAAAAAAAAAAAAAAAAAAAGGTTGGACAAAGTCAACTAAAATTGAAGGCCTTGGGTCTTTAAAGCGGGTTATCAAAGAGTTTAGCAATCACAACAATCATTGAGACCAAACCAGTGGCATTACAATTACATGAGACATTAATAACTTGCTTAGAATAGTTAAAGAATCGTAAATATTTATGTCGGTATAACGAAACACTTCATCTCACAAAAAGCTCACTAATGGACTTTGGTCCTCATCTGTGGGATTTTGACTGCTCTCAACACATGTAATGTAATACCGCCCTCTTGTGTCCAACCTGTATTCTGCACTTAAGAGGACAATGGCTGATGCCTTTTTATGTCTGTATTAGGATCTCACTTTGATGGAATAACATGGCAATTGCTGTCATATAATATCTAGAAATGATCTCGGTTTTATCAGCTGCTTTGACACAGTTGTCACGATAAACACGATTCTGAAATGCTTGCATTGCGTGTTAGTTCATGCAGAATTCAGATATACAAGTACAAATATCTTTACTTGATCCAGTAAAAAAAAAAAAAAAAAAAAAAAAGAAAGAGTCAACATGATTTTTTTAATAAACCTCAAATGCAAAATACACGAGCCAGCTGCCATAACCTTTCAAAGATAAAGGTTCACTTGGTTTCAGTAATAGTGTCATTAAAAGAGCCGATAAATCTAATGGAATCAAATCATGTCACAGAAACATGATTGAAAATAAAAATGTCATAACCAGGTTACTTATTTCAAAATATTTTTTTTTATTTCATGCAAAAGAATTCCAATAATCATTGTTCATCACAAAACGTTTGCAATTTTTTTGGCAACATATAAGACTGTTGTGAAATACTTTTCAAACTTCAAAGCCACTCAAACATCTGGCCATTCTTACCACTTTGTGAACCTGCTGTTGATCTCAAACACAAACTACTGCGCACCGTACGTCTGGTTCCACAGAGGCACTGGCACAACATTTGAATGCACCGTGCGCTCTAGTTTAGGCAAACAGCAGTATTTCGCTCTCATAGAGCTCCTTTCTCATTCCAGTGAAAAACACATTTTTAATTTGGCGTCAAAGGAAATGTATTTGAATCTTGATAATGCAGAAAATGAATCATTCCTTCATCAGGTTTCCCTTATTATTTGGGTAAACTCAATTATTTGAGTGCAGCACGATTGTATAACATTTAAGTTTCAAACATTCCAAGATCGAGCAGAGAATAACACTTTTCAAATATCTTTGGTGGATAACAATTTTAAAGACAGTTGGGGTTTCCATGAACTTGATCAATGAATGAATCAAACTAGAGAGAATCCTTAAACAAAACCTCAATCGTTACACAAAACAAAAAAAGGAAAGTTTCATTGAAAAATAAGAAGCTGTTCTCTCAAGAGCCTGAGCAGAAATCCTTTCAGTTTTTAATCTTCAGAGGAGGTCAGAGGTCATTTAGCTCTGTAGCTGGAGGGGATTTGGTGAGGTAGCCAAGAGCCCTTCAGAGTGGAGGATTGTCGATTGGACTAGCAGTGCTTGTGCGACACTCCAAACAGCATAACATGGCCTTTTTAAGGGGATTCACAACCTTCACTAGCGGTTCTCTTGTCTTTTTTAAGTGACGTCCACAGGTGTGTCAGATTACTGTTGAACATCGGGGGACTCCCATAAGAGTAAAGTAATAAATTGAAACTGCCATCATGCTCTGCCAGATTTACCTGAACTTAAAGAAAGGCAGTCGGCCAGAATGAGATAGTTTTTTCCCCTTTTCCAGCTCAAAAACACAAGCAAAAGAACGACTACCGTATTCACAAGACACCGCTGCGTTGTTTTTAAGACCCTTGTGGTAAACTTGAAAAATACAATCGCCTAAGAATATATCTCAGCACTTTGTACATAACTGGCTTAATATCAAGTTTTCCATCATGAGGAATATCCCAAATGAACAGCACCATTTTGAATGTTCATTGCGGGTTTCACAGTTCAGAAAGGCGGGAAGCAGGGGGTGGAAATAAGGTAAACACCAAAGCAGCACTTTGGGAAAATACCAGATATGGATAAAACAGTGGTCCGATACATTTTGAATATATTTTTCTAACTTGCCTTTGACCCTTTTGTGCCGAAAACACACCAAAACAGCAGCGGCGAGATGCCATGTGATGTCTATGGAAAGCTGCGGGCATTTTGATTCTGTGGCCAAGTGCGGCCCAACTCAAAGTTGAGGATAGTTGAACTTTTAGTGGCCCGAGATTACCCGCAGCCAATCAGTGAACAGTCCTGTGACATGTTGACCTGTGTTACAAAGAATTTCTTCCCGCCTGAAACGCATGAACACGCCTCCGGGCCACAGAAAACATGCATTATTCACAGCTGCCTGGTGTGTTTCTATTAACCATTAGACTGTTACTATTTGAGCGATTGAGGGACTCACTGGGTTTTAAGTCAAAAGAGATCAGAATCAACCAAATATTTTAGCACACGGGTATAAATTAGACCTTTCCTGACCATAGAAAAAAAAAAAAAAAATCCCTGTTAATACATGTTCTATCTTTTCTTTTTTTTTTACAAAGATAAAATATTTTTAAAAAGGTATTCAAATATAACTTCGCCCAAACCTGGATGACAGTAGGAGCATATTAAGGGCTGTTATTGTCTAAGCAGTGTGTCTGTGTGTTGCTAGTTGGTTGGTCGGGCTCTTAGGCTGTTTTCTTACAGACATGGATGAAGTAGCACGGGGCCTTGGACTGGCCCGGGACGTACGTCTTGAAATCTCCGTAGACACTGTGCTCCATTTTGCCATTGAAGGCCTCCTTCAGTAAACCTTTAAAGCTCTCCAGACAGTGAGGGTAGTAGGACAAACGGAATTTACTGGGGAGGACAAAGCACGCACACATTAGTATTTATCCAACCAAGGTTTCTATTGTGTCTAACATGTCTGGTGAGAAGGTCCATTGACCTCGACTGTATTATATTGAGATATCAAAACATAAAGTTATATACAAGTAGCTGGAACTGTTGGCACTTTCACGCTGCCTTCGAGGTTTTGTGAGCATCATAGTGAGCAGAGTGTTGATCTACCTGACTTCAGGAAGATTTTGGATGGCGGCCTTTGGCACGTGGATGGTGTAGTCCAAAGTGATCATATGGGGCTTATTGTCGACCCACAGCACCGAAGTGGAAATGTCCTGAGTTAGATCACTCTGCAACACAAAACACACACATTTAGGAAACATGGTGGTGAGTATTAGGCACCAAAAAGACTGCTCACAACCTTTCCTCTTTTCTTCAGTAGTGACCAAGATTGAGTAGCGACAAACAAAACCAGGAGGTAGCTCTTACTGTTGGACCATGAGAGCAGACTCTGGGATTACAGAGGCATCAGATGTGGATTTTGCTCGAGCACACGACTGTTGACTCAGTATTTCTCTTTAGGCCTCCCAGCTGGTTAGTTCTTGCATTGGCTGGATTAAAGAATATGGAGCTTGTTTTGAGGAAAATAAAACAAATATGCCTCATTGCTGTTGGCACCTGCTGTTATATCTTCATATTAAATCTTTCCGCTCTTACCGATAAGATGAGATAATTAATTGCAGGACTGGTTGTTTGTTTGAACCCAGACATATGCTGTCATGGTACAATACTCCATGGGAATAAATGTGCATTTTAGCTACAAAGTAGATGCTACACATCATTTTAAGCCACATATGAACACACCCAGCTTATTTTTCAAAAAACATTTTTTTCCACATTATCTCTTTTTCACCAAAATAGTCTTAAAAGCCTCCAAAGTCATCCACCTTTCCTTCTGTTTTCCTAAGGCCACTTTCATTGAAAACCTCACAATATCCGGCAGGCTCTAGATAGAGATTTAGGTCTTAGACTAAGCTGCTGCTAGGGATGGTGTAAATAAACCATCCATAAGCAATTCTGTCTGTCCAACTCCTCTTCACGAAGCAACGGAAAGTCGGATA